GATGCCCAAACTCTGACTATAATAGAAGTTATGAGTGTAAAGCACCTACATTTTCCCATAACATGTGGCATTTAGGTTAGTTTATATTTTCTTCCTGAAATTACAAAACTGAGTTTTATTTAATTCATCTTTTTAAAAAATATCTTGCAGCGAACATAGGAAATCTTTGATATTGTACGTACAATCATTTAGGAACTAACCTAGGCTATCTTTCATCAGTAATTATCATGAGTCCTTCATTTCGGCATTTCCTGACTCACACCTGATAACATCTCCAATTCATGGTTACGCTAATATAGTTTGCATATATCAGGTAATTGGTTCCACCTTCTAGAGTCGCTGAGTCACAACACTGTAGTCACAGTCTTTTTTGCTTCACCACATAACGGAAACAGACAAATCATTTCGGCAACCCGACCCAAAACTGCGTCTGTGTGAGCTGAATGTAGGTCAGGTATGTGATGAGAGAGGCCACAATTTCAGGATACCCTGTCTTCTGCTTGCTAGATTTAACCTTAGCCTCTCTAAAACAAACCTTTTTTTCCTACTGTTTTGAGGAAAATTTGCCAACACAATAAAACTAACATTTTGAATTGAATAACATTTGAATAGCATATATGAAACACCTTTACAGACTTTATGCCATTTAATCTTAAAACTAAATTGGTGAGTTAACTATTATTTTCATCAGCAAGATGAGGAATATAAGCTCAAAGAAGTTTAACCAGCTTGACCAAGGTAGCGTTGGGACTGGACCACAGGTTACTACAACTCCAAAACCAATGGTTCCCAAACTATCTGAATATCAGAATCACCTGGAAGATTACACATTCAGATTCCTAGGCCCCACCTCTGGGTAGTTCCATGGGTGTGTCATGGGTAGTCTCCCTCTACAAATCTATTATATTTGTGGCTTGTTTTTATTTTCTAAGTGAACTTTAGCCAAGAAAGGAAACTAAACCAATTTTTATCAATGTAAGCCAAGGAAGATGTGAATGGTATAATAAAATAAATCTTATAGTAGCGTATCTTGAGCTACCTCGTCTCCTTTCTGAAGTAGATTATTTTCTGCGTTAGACAATGATAAGGAAAGAAAAGGAGAGATAGTAATACACTGCAGAGCTAAATTGTCACACAGAGACCGGGGTTATGACCTTGGCCCCATGAGAACCATCCTTCATCCATCCATCTAACGCCTGATACATCAAGTTCATGTGGTGTGATTGATCCCAATGTGTGCAATCAGATTTTACACTCTGTAGCTTAGGTAAAATAGACTGAATTATGCAAAAATCCCTGCAAGTTCGTTGTAATTCCTTTCTTTACCATAGATCAGTGATTAGCCATTGAAAACTCTGTCTTAACCAACTGGACTAACCAACTTTTGAGCAAGACAACAATGATACCTCTAAGCTTCTAGAGAGACAACTTTCAAACTTACTTTACAACTAATATGCCTCAGTACACATTTGTATAGAAGCCAATTTATGTTCTAAAATCCAGTTATACACTAATTTCAACTTCTCATGTTTAGTGCCATAGTAACTTTTTTAAATGAACTATTTTAAAACGTCAGTGGAATATAGGCAAACATTTGTATGCCTATAGTTTTTTACAGCCCTGCAATAACGTAAGATCTTTAACTTATATGAAACAATGATTTGCACTTTTGACCAAAAAGTACTAACAGATTGTTCACTTGTTTTCTAATCAACAAGTGTGAATATTCTGTATATTTTATCTTCAATATTTCAATATATTTTATGGAATTCATATTTTTTAGAAACTTAAATTTACCATGATTTGCAAGATAAAGACTGTCCTATGCAGTACAGTCAAAAAGTTTGTGTAAAATTTTTTAAAATGGATCTGCCTCAGAAATTCTTTTTTTGTTCTACATTTGTGCAAAAATGTCAGGGACTCAGCTTCATTGCATTCTGACAGCTGCAAAAGAAGAATATAACATTTGATTAACCTGTTATGAGTAGAATTCTTCTAAAAGATAATTATTTGTTCCATGTAATAACTTTCTGGAGAGGCCAAACACACTTGATCAATTTTTATTTCAAAATGTCTACAAAGTTTTAATTACCCATTATACAAATAATTTTTCAAAATCCAGACATTATTCAAATGTAAGCCAAAGTCCTTATACAAATAAGAGTACACACAAAGATCAAAAATATACACATCTCTCAGCAAACTTTGTTACATAAATAATAAAAATATATACAGCTGGTATTTTCAAAGTATAATTATATTAAATAACACTGCAACCACAACCACATATGGAAGGAAAAAATAAAAAACACTACAGCAAAAGTTAAAGGAAAAACAAATTCATTTTGTGACATCTATAATTATAAAGATACATATAACCAATCTTAGGGGACTACATACTTCACAATGGGATTTTAATTTTTACTTCACTTTATCTTCTTAGAATATTCTCTGGATGGGCAAAATTCTATCCATGGCACCTAATACAAAAGTTATAACATGTGAAGAACTCTATAATCTAGGTCTTTGTACTTTGAGATAGACATAAAAAGAATTCTTTAAAAGTTAAATTTGTATAAGCCTGTGTTAAAAATTTCCAAGTAAATTGAATTGACTACTGAAAATCAAATATTTCTTTTTAAGTAGGGGATGTCAGAAAAAAAATTCAAACAAACATAGTAAGCAACAAAGGAAAATTATGTCAATTGTTCCCTATATATAAGCAACTCAACTGCGTTTATGTTTTACCCCAGAAATTCTCCTTCCTTTTCTTAGCTCGTGCCAGAGTTTGAAAAGCCCGAAGACTAGATGCTGCTGAGCGAGCAGATATCTCAGACAATCTGTCCTCATCTGCAATGAAAGAATCCCAAGATTATATTCAGGGCAAAAATATCTGTTAAACAAAATTATGTTTTATATAACAAAAAT